TTCCCAAGCGGGCGAGGCGGGCCTGCCGTCCGAGGCCTCCGGACGCACCACCAGCGCGCAGAGCGGTGTCGAGGCTGGGGGAGTCCTTGTTTCTGAAGCCCCGGTTTTGTGATCGCTGGGCCCCTTCCTTCGGGGGCCGGGAATCTTGACTATCAGCCCAAAGCAAATGGAGCTTTGATCATAGCTGGCCTGGAAACATTGAATGTGACCTGTGTTTACACAGAATATTCAGCCTGAGCCTCGTATGGAATTTCCAAAAAGTGGGACTTTAACAGCATCATTGAGCAAGAAATTGCTGAACTCACAGACATCCAAAGGCTTCAGGCAATTTCAGAAGGTCTCAACAATCACAACAAACAAATGGGTTTTTAACACATTAAAATGGTTAATTGATCAACTGCTTGTAATCTGTCTCACATTTAACCTGCATCTGCATAACCAGCCTGTCTTCTCCTTTTTCCCCTTCACTGACCTCACCCCCATTTTGTTTTGTACACCACCCAGAGTCCACTGGAGCTGGAGGTCCAATACATTTAATTAAATAAATAATAATAAATCATCAATCAAACTGCTCTGTGCATCTGATGAAAGGAGTTAGTTGGAAAAGTGCTACCAGGCTCCTTTTGACCTTTTGTCCCCACTGGAGGAGAAAGACAGGTGGATTCTGGTTGTCCTAAGTATTCTCTTCCCATTTTGTTTGGGGAGAAGAAGAATATTAAAACTTATTATAAGATCAGTTGGTTTTCCAAAGATAAGAGTAAGAGAAGACAGGCAAAAGCAGAATTGCTTCTTCCTCCAAAAGAAATTTTATCTAAGTTATCTGAGAAACCCCAGATTTCTGCTTGCACAGGTTCCTAAAAATGTGGTTCTATCATTTAAGAAATTCACTCTGTCTTCTCCTTTCCAACAGCAACAGGTGTCAAGCCAGTGTAAAACATACAGTGGGGCAAAAAAGTATTTAGTCAGCCACCAATTGTGCAAGTTCTCCCACTTAAAAAGATGAGAGAGGCCTGTAATTTTCATCACCTTTACACGGATCAGTCGTCCTGGTCCCTTTGCAGAAAAACAGCCCCAAAGCATGATGTTTCCACCCCCATGCTTCACAGTAGGTATGGTGTTCTTTGGATGCAACTCAGCATTCTCTCTGTATACCTCAACTATGAGAGACAAAATGGGGGAAAAAATCCAGAAAATCACATTGTCTGATTTTTAAAGAATTTATTTGCAAATCATGGTGCCTTTACACGGATCAGTCGTCCTGGTCCCTTTGCAGAAAAACAGCCCCAAAGCATGATGTTTCCACCCCCATGCTTCACAGTAGGTATGGTGTTCTTTGGATGCAACTCAGCATTCTCTCTGTATACCTCAACTATGAGAGACAAAATGGGGGAAAAAATCCAGAAAATCACATTGTCTGATTTTTAAAGAATTTATTTGCAAATCATGGTGCCTTTACACGGATCAGTCGTCCTGGTCCCTTTGCAGAAAAACAGCCCCAAAGCATGATGTTTCCACCCCCATGCTTCACAGTAGGTATGGTGTTCTTTGGATGCAACTCAGCATTCTCTCTGTATACCTCAACTATGAGAGACAAAATGGGGGAAAAAATCCAGAAAATCACATTGTCTGATTTTTAAAGAATTTATTTGCAAATCATGGTGCCTTTACACGGATCAGTCGTCCTGGTCCCTTTGCAGAAAAACAGCCCCAAAGCATGATGTTTCCACCCCCATGCTTCACAGTAGGTATGGTGTTCTTTGGATGCAACTCAGCATTCTCTCTGTATACCTCAACTATGAGAGACAAAATGGGGGAAAAAATCCAGAAAATCACATTGTCTGATTTTTAAAGAATTTATTTGCAAATCATGGTGTCTTTTTAAGTGGGAGAACTTGCACAATTGGTGGCTGACTAAATACTTTTTTGCCCCACTGTATACTAAATATCACATTTCTTGCTATTTAATTGGAGTGGTAGAAAAATCCGGGCCTGATAACGAGGCCTCAACAGTTTCCAATGCAGCATGTTTAAAAATGGCTTTGGCAAGTGGAACATTTCAAGCATTTTCTACATTCTTTTGCTTCCTTGCTTGCCTTTGGCTTCATGTGGGACTACCTCTAGTGAAGAGGATTTTGTGCAGTTCATCTCTGTAATTCTTCTCAAGATATAACAGAATGTAAGGAAAACTCACTCTACAGCTATTTTTAATTCAGGGCTGGAAGCATTTACTGTCACAGAATCACAGAACTGGAAGTCACTGTGGAGGTCATCTAGTTCCGTGCAGGATCCACTACAGTATTGCTGACAGATGCCCATTCAGCCTCTGAAGACCTCCAGTGTCATGTGGCAGCTTGTACAGTCAGGAAGTTCCTTATGATATCTAGCTTGAAGCTCCTTATAGGTTCACCCTCTTTTTAGCAGCTGCATCACACTTCTGTCTTGTGTTTAATTTGTGGTTGACAAAGACACTCTGATCCCTTTCACAGGTACTATTACCAAGCCAAAGTCTCCTTCTTCCTAGACTTGTGCTTTATGTTTTTCCTACTTAGATGCAGAGCTTTACATTTCTCCCTGTTAAATTCCATTCTGTTCATTTCTGCCCCAGCCTAGATCTGTTTGAATCTTCTCTCTTTTGTTTAAAGTATTAGCAACCATTTCTCCCAGTTTTGTGTCATCTGCAGACTTTATAAGTGTACCCTCAACTCCCTCATCCAAGTCACTGATGAAAATGTTGAACAGCACAGGGCCTAGAACAGCACCCTCTGGCATTCCACTCAGTGCCTCCCTTCAAGCTGAACCCATTACTGGACACTCTATAGGTGTGGCCATTCAGCCAACTGTGAGTCCATCTAACAGTAGTGTTGTGAAACCTATATTTTGCCATTTTATGAAAGAGATTGCAATAAGACATTCTGTTAAAGGTTTGCTGATCTGGGCTCACTATGATCTACTAAGCTAGTAACTATCAAAAAAGGAGATAAGGTTAATCTGATATGACTTATTTGCTCACCTCCAGTCCTGGGACCTCACCTGTCCTCCAGGAGTTTTCAAAGATTACCAAGAATGCTTCTGCAATCATCTCTGTTAATTCCTTCAGTACTATTGGATGTAATTCATCTGGCCTCAAAGACAAGGATTGATTTAACGTAGCTTAGTACTGTATTTCCCTTTCCTTGTCTATCTTTAGGTGCAGTTCCCTTCTCCAAGAGACATAACAGTGATCAGCTAGGGCTCAGTTTCCCTTTTGAGAGATGCCTGATGCAAAATTGGAGTTAAGAAGTTCTGCCCATTCCCACCTCACCATTTTCACCTTGCAGTGGACCCACACCTTCTTTGATTTCCTTTTTTTTTTTTTTATCCCCAACCCCCTTTTTGTTGTTTCTGGTATCTCTCAAGGTGAGGCTTTTTTGACAATTCCTGTGATTTCTGAAGACAACCATGTAATACTCTCTTCCTTCCATTTCCTATATACACATCCTTTTTTCTCTTCAGCACTTTAGAGAGCTCTACACACATCCATGGTGGCCTCTTTACCTTTTTCTCATTTTTCCTTTTTGTTTTGATGGTGCCTTCATCAATTCATAGAGTTTCTCATCCTTCCTGGACACTTTTCTTCTTAAGGATTAGAAGTCACTAGATTTGATCTAACCTTCCCTCAGAGTTCAAGACATGCTCTTCTGTAAACTACAGCGAAGGTCTCCCTACATACAAGGGACCTGCATTTCCTTAACCATGTCAGTGAAAAACCTGGCAACTGCATTTGCACAACATGCAAACTTGTTAACCTTGGTTTGTTTGTTTGGTGGCTTAACATGGTATGTACACCCAGCCTCTTTGCTTAGCTTATGATTCAGTTTTGGTTGGTGTATGGTTCGATGTACTGTGTGCATCCAGAAACTGATTTCATTCAGCAACAAGGTTGTGAAGAAATCAGATACTTCGCTCCATCCAAAGAAAAGAGCAAGTACTTGGGTTGTGCCATCTTCAGGATGCAGCCTGTTTGTGCCCAGTACGAACCTGCTTACCTTTCAGCTTGACATTTGCAGCCTGGAATGAAAAGGGTCTCTGGTTGCAACACCCAGAGAGAGGGAATTGCTGCCCTTAAGCCTTGATCTTGGGAGCAGAGTGGAAGCAAGGGGTGGCACCTCTGTGTGTGTGTGTTTAACCCATTTCTTACAGCCTATTAGTTATGGAGGTGAGGTTGATCTCTTGTATTTTGTGCAAAAGCGGGATGGGAATCTGGCACATTCTGAATGGCTTGGCAGGTCATGAAGTGTGCAGTCCCATTCCTGGAAACTGATAAAAAGTTTATCAGACAGTTTGCATTGTAGAACAAGATGCCAGATTCTGATCAGTTTGTGGAAAGACTGTAAGCAAGAGGGAGTGAAGGGATAAAAAATGCACTTCCTGCCAGGCACCTTCTTTTGCTTTTATTTTGCTCCTGGCAAAATCCTGTTTTCTCCCGTGGGGAGTGTGAATGCTTGCTGGCTGGTTGTTCAATACCAGTTGCACTGCCTGCAGAATGAGAACTGTGCCAGGGTGATAGAAATATCAGGGAAACTTTGATGCCAACCCACTTGCTGTTGGGTTCTTGGAAACTGTAGCATCTTTTCTTGCCTCCCAAGCATGACTGGCTTTTGGGAACTTGCCAGTTACTTCCAGAATTGGCTGTTCTTGGGAACTATGATGTCTCTTTCCTCTACCCTCCTCCCATCTCAGCTGTCATTTTAGAGCCTACCTTGGAGGCTCACATCCAAATCTGTTGCTAAATGCATACAAAAGTACTGACCAAGCTTAGAAAATCATTGGCTACTGGGACTTCCAAAAAAGCAAGCAAACGCCTGAAAGGAGTTATGTTTTTAAAGGGCTGGGTCCCCAACCACTTAATCCTACTCCCTAAACTGATTGCTGGAATGCCCGATTTCAAATACTCGTGCTAGCTTCTGTCCTGAAAAATTAATGCCAGACTAGTAGGCTTGAAAGCCAAAACCAAAAAGCAAGCTATTTGGCCATTTGGTATCTGGGAAATGCTATCTCTGTAACCCTAGGAGATTCTCAACCTTCTTAATTTTCTGGGAGTCATTTATGTTTGTTGAAATGATGTTGGCAAAATGGTAATGGCTGTTTATACTGCTTCCTGGCTCCGTGCTCAATTGAGGGACATCGCTCACATACTTCTCTTTTAAACCATGTCTACATGAGGTCTCATTGCTGTTGCTGCTGCAAGTTTTGGCACTGAAAGATTCCTATCTGCAAATGAAGAATTGGCTCTGTGAATAGATAGGACGGCACATGTTGGGTGACAGATCTGCCTTCCCTCAACCTGGTGCCTGCCAAATGTGTCGGAGCTACAGAATTCACAGCCAGCGAGGCAGAACTATGGCTCCACCTCAGCAGGATATCACCTGGGTTGATCTTTAGCTTTCTAGGATTTTTTGTGGGCTTGTGTTTGTGTTTTTTCTCTTTCTTCCTTCTTCCCCACTTAGAAGTGCAGACTCTTTCTTATTTATGCTCTATTTTCTGCTCTTGGTTTCAGCAATTATTCTTGCTGGGTTTGTAGCTTACCTTTTGTTTGTCAAAGATTACCCCTCCTGTTCTTTAGCTTTCCGTAGTGGCAATACGGACTTCCCTGATATCATTGGTGGCTTTTTGTTGAGGTTTTGTTGTTGTTTAGTTGTTAAGTCGTGCCTCTGTTTCATATCCACATCATGCAATGTTTGAAACCTAAATTGAAATGCTCTGTGTTGATTCTTTTTCTTAAAGTTACCTTTCCAATCTTTAAGATTGCAACGGTAAGGTGGATAGTATGTAAACAATGATTGGTGATCATTAAGTTTGAAATTAGAGCTTCTGTACTCTACAAAAATCTTTCTTTCATCCTTGTTAGAAACAAACCTGTTTTTTTATAAAAGCATCCTTTCGGAATGGCATTGAACCATGGAAGGCTACTCAACCAGTGCAGTCCTGCTCAATGCAAGAATCCAAATTAAAGCATGCCAGCAGATGACTGTCAAGTCTGTTTGGAAAGATACCATCGATCCTTATAATTCTCACCGTTGGGCAGTTTTTTAAAATATTTAACTGGAATCTGCTTGCCTGTAATACAAGGGAATTATTCTGTGTCCCACTTTCTGAGATAGTAGAGGACAGGTCACCCACGGGGCCCAAGCAGGTAAGATGGTTTAATCTGATGACCTGGTTCAAGCAACTTGCTAAAATAAGAGCTGGCTTCTTGTAAGACACCAAACCATAAAATACATATTTGACAATATTTTGTAAAGCCTGCCATTGGTGCAGCAAACCTGCTGTAACTAGGCCTCACCCACATCGCCGCCTTCCCCTCCTGCATATTGCGCTTCGAGGGAGATTCCTCTTGGTGCCAGCTTGCTATTGAGGCAGGCCAAAGCCAGGTCAAAGTGATCCCACAGGAAAGCACCTCTTCCCTCAGGAAATGCCATCCAGGCTCTGGTGGGAACGTTCTGATTTGCAAGCACGTCAGCGACTGGCAGGGCTCCAACTGACCCATTGCAAAACTTTCCAGCTGCAGGGGTCTAACCCTCCATGGTGATTTCTGCTTTTTGGCTGCCCGCTAGCACAGCTCCGCCAATTCTCAAGAACAGAAAAGGCCTGAAAAGACCGAGACTGTTCACACTCCCCCCTCAGATCTCCCCTTCACTTCCCTCGCTCCTGCCTCCCCCTTCCCCGCTGCAGCCCCAACAGCCATGCTGCGTGAGGGCAGCAGCTGAAGAGGAATGCTGTGCCGGCAGCAGTCTTGCGAGGGCGGCTGAGTGGTGTGCTCTCCCAGCAATGAGAACAATGCAGCGGGGTTTGACACACTGGTTTCCAGATGTGCAGGCAAGGCCTAGCCCAACAGAGCCGACCCAGCGTTTTTCTCCCCCTCAGAATCAATTACTTCTCTGAGTTCTGGGTGGGAATTGGGTTTTGACTCCCCAGGCTGTGGAAGTTGCCGATTCAAGCAGGCTTGTAAACCAGCGGAGGCCAAAATCACTTTCTTCCTTCCTGCCCGAGTGAGGAAGGAATTCCACAGCAGTGGCCTGGTTCCTGTTGTTTGCTCTCGTTTCCTTGCCTTTTTAATAACTGTTCATTGAAAGACCTGTGTGGAATTATTGTGCCATATAAATAGCAGGGATTTTTTTCAGTTAACCAAATTTGAGAATTTTATTTATTTATTCAATTTATATCCTGCCTTTCTTGACCTGCTTTCTATGCCATAAAACATTCAAATAAAATCTAAGATTGATTTCATTTTTTTAATAAATGTTTTATTAAAAGTTTTACAAAGCACATAAAAAGTAACACACACTAATAAACAGCAAAGAAACAGCAAAGAAGAAAGGGAGAAAAAAAGCAAAAGTGCAGAAAAAAAGTAAAAAGAAAAAGAAAAAAGCTTCTGATTTCTTTGCAGCAAATATAAGTACAATGGCAAAATTATCTCTTACTCTGATTACAAAAAAATCACACTTTTTCCTATTATCCATTTTTTTCTAATCATCAAAACCACAAATCATAAGTCTATTTTTTTCCATTTCATGCAAATAGTCTATAAGAGGTTTCCAGTCAACCATCATTGTAGATATTGTTTTTTCCCTGATCAAAGAGGTTAATTTAGCCATCTCCGCAAGTTCCATCATCTTCACCAACCAATCCTCCATTTTAGATAGTGTCAGACCTTTCCACTTTTGAGCATATAATAGTCTCACTGCAGTTGTATATAAAAACAAAGTTCCATGACTTTTTTCCAATTGCTTGTCCATTATTCCCAAAAGAAAAGTCTCTGGTTCAGTTCACCTTTAAAATCTTCTGAATTAATGCATGTATTTGTATCCAAAATTATTTGGCTTTTTTACACGTCCACCCAACCTGATAAAATGTTTTTTCATGTTGTTCGCATTTCCAGCAAAGATTCAAAGTACCTTTATAGTACTAGACAATTTCTCTCATGACAGATACCAATGATACATCATTTTATAAAAATTCTCTTTATGGCTAGAACATAATGTAAATTTAAATCCTTTCAACCACATATTTCCTCACTGGTCTATTTGTATATTATAGCCTAAGCTTGATTTCAGATCATTTTGACATCACGTGTCGTACAACTCAATAGTACATTCCTAGGTTAAGGGAAAATTAAAGCACTGAAAATGGATAATATTCAACTACGTCATTTTGGTGGATGGTTTATGTGTTGGAAAAGCAGGTCTACTCAGCTACACAATTCCTGCTCTTCTTGGGTGCCTTTTTTGCTTGGGATGGTGAACACTACAGATAATTGAGGAAGTGGCTGTGTAGCACATGCATGTTCCTTAAAGCATTTGAGTTTTGCTTTGCTCCAAGGGCAGCCCTCTCTCAAGTCTCAGAGCTATAAGGACAGCTCCAAGAGAAAATGGGGAGATGCAATTTGCAGTAGTACATCAATTGTATTTTTCCTTACCTTGTTCTCTCCAAATCTGCCTTCCCAAACCCTTGTTTTTAGGCAGATTTTTTAAAAATTATGTGGGAAAGTGAGATGATTGGCACAGAAGCTTTCCCTTCAAGAGAGCAAGTTGAATGACAGATTGTCACCTGGTTCTTGCTGGCTTTTGGCTGGATGGTCAGCCTTCCCCAATGTGGTATCCTCCAGGTATATTAGATACGATGTCAGCATTTTACAGGAATTGTAATTCAGCACATATGTGAAGCATTGGAATGAGGAAGCTGGATCTAGTACCTGCAGCTTCCCCCCCCCC